GCGACCTGGGGGACTGCAGATAGGGGCTACAGTCCAGAACATAGGCAGAAGCACTCGCTACCTCCATGCAGGGACAAGAGTCCTGGGGTGGGGGGAGGACATGGTAAGAAAGAGCAGAGGACAGAGGACTCGGTGGCCACCCTCCCGCCCCGCCACCACTGGGAGCACAAGAAACAGTGGACAGTGAGGTCCAGGAAGATGAGAAAGGGACAGTGGGGTGTCTCCGGGTGTCACATCGGTCTTCTCAAAACTTGGGTCTCACTTTCCTTCTCCCTCCTTCCAGAGTCCCTCCCTAGAGTTGGCTGTTTTACTGCTCATTGACCAAGAAGCACTCAGCGCTCATTATAGGAAAATTCTATTACTAGACCTTTAGTGCTTCAGTGTTAGGTGCTATCTATATAAATCTAATTAATTAATTAGATAATTAATAGCATCTTCCAGCTTCCTTCTAACCAGTATACACAGGATTCCTGGGAAGGAAATGCTTCCAGTTCCATCCAGAGCTTTGCATGTCCCCGATTTACAGGGAAGGCTGCACGTTTCCCGGGGAGGAGCGATACATTCTTGGGATTGCTGAACTCTGCAGGCCGCCTCCCTGGGCCCTGCTCCACTCCGCAGTCTGCACTACGGGCAGGGTGCTGTTTTCCCACACTGCCTGCCGCAGGGAGGCTAAGTCCTGTGCTGGAGGGCAGCATGGGAACGCACCTCATGGACGCACCTGAGCTGTGCTCACCGACACAGGGAAGCTTTGCCCGGCACCTGGCTCTCCCAGGTGGCTCAGAAATCTTGGCGATGGGAGGTGGTAGGGAATAGCGAAACCCCGCATTGCACCACCTTCAAACCCCACACCCACACAGTGGGACAGCACAAAAGCTAAGATGACGAGCTTTGCAGGAAGATAACCATGGGCTTAAGTTCCAGTTCCAACATCTGCTGTGCAATCTTGGACAGATCGCGTACCCTCTCAGCATCTCGCTGCCGGGCAGGGCAGTTGAAAGGATCTAAGAGCACAGCACCAGGTCAGTTAACCGATCCAGGGGACACACAAAACAGAAACAGAACAGAGCAAGCCCAGATCTCTTCCGTCACACACTCAGACACGTCTTCTGTCTCAGGCTCATTCACACCACAGACACGCACTGAGGCCCGACCGCATGTCCAGCACGGTCCCAGGCCCTAGGGATACCCCACGAGCACACCAGCACCAGCGGTACTGTCACTTTGGGGGAGAGGAGGTCAGATCAAGAATAAAAATAAAAAGAGGAAATACATCGTGTGTCCAATGGCGGCAAGTGCTCCGCAGAAACATAAGAAAAAAGAAGAAAGGAGGTCTGGCGGAACGGAAAGGGTGTGGTTTTAAATAGCGTGCTCAGGGAAGACCTTGCCGAGAAAGTGACACCAAATCAAGGCCAGAAGGAGGAGCTGGAAGAACATTCTAGACCGAGGGAGGGGCTCCTCCTTCCAAGACTCTGAATTCTCCTGGTGGGGTGGGGAGTGTGGAGCTCCCCAGGGCCCCCAAATGGTATTATTACAGTGCTGAGCACACAGCAAGTGCCAAATAGAGACGTCCTGAAGGGTGATTTTTCAAACTGCCATTTCCAGAAGGTCCCAGTGGCTGATAATACAATATGGGCTGTTTAAACATTCAACACTCAACCCGCCACCGCCCCCGAGGCCCCCAACCCTGGGAGCTTCCTTGTAGCACACCTCATTATGAAACAGGTGAGCGGGGCTCCCGGGACCTTCTCTGTAATTAGGACAGTATCTGGGCAAGGGCTATATTTATAACCCCCAGCCATCAGCAAGCCACCGAGACAAGGCGGGTCCCTGTGCAGCTCCCTACACCAACATCTATATGTGAACTGATTACCACAATTAATTTAATAGGGATTCCTCCACACAAACAATGTATCATTTTATTAGGAAACTCTATAAATGTCAGTGGTGCAATTCATTTTTATTAATTTTCCAAAATGAAATTAGCAGTGGCGGTGGCACACAAGTCGCATTGCCTCCTCATTCAGTGGGGTATTGGTGTCATTAATTCCTTAGTACCAGGAGGCCGGTTTGTATGAACTCAGCAGTTAACTGCACCAATTAATTTCAATACCAGGGACGGGAGGGGGGCACCCAAACTCAACTCAACAACTAATTTAGGAAGGTCCTTGAACAACCACAGCAACTTTTCCCTCCTCCTGGGACGAGAAGCCTTCAAGTATAAACACGGAGTGGGTATTATAATACTAATAGGAAACGTTCTGTCTTTACCCTCTGCCTTGAGGAAAGAAATTCGTCTTCCCGAAGCCTGGAGAGACTCTGGCACATGTCTCTGAAGTTGCAGCCTCCGGCGGGCTCAGGGACTGCCCCTTGCAGACAAGAGGAATGGGGACATCCGCAGGCAACCACACGGAGCCTCCCAGTCTCCCTCGAGCCTCGTGATGGCCCAGTGAGGACAGGGGCATGGAGTCCATCTCATACATGGAGAAAAACAGAGTGGCTTTTAATGAGGCGCTAAAATGACTTTCTACAAGTCCCAGAGTGATCAAGGGACAGGGCTAGGCCTCAAAGCCCGGCTTGTCAATATCCAGCTCTCCCCATTCCCACTCAGCTGCTCGCATGCCCCTTGTGCCTCGGGACGGGAAGTCTCCTGGCCCTATTTATACTCCAAAAAGTCAAGTGAGTCAGGCATGACCGTGAGTGACATTCACTTCTCAACTGAAACCCAAACTCTGAAGGCTGAAACACGAGGCAAAATCCCTGCTTGAAATGTTTTACCGATCTGCAATCGGGGGGTGTCCTAAAACACAGCACGTGTCTGCGTATCTGAAATCGGATGTCTGGCCCGGGACGCGTGCCGGAGAATCTCACTCTCTAGCTAGAGGAAGCTCTTTCCTTCCACTCAGATTCAAGGAGGGTCCTGCTGAGGAGTGAGGGACGCACAGATGCTGCGGGCTGCTTGAGACGAAGGCGCTGCTGGGAGGCAGGAAATAGTGCAGAGACAGAAATCCGACAGACTCCCTTCCCCCACCCCACCCAGAAACCAGGGCAGCAGTTCTCAAAGTGAGGCCCCAGACTGGCCGTGTGCTGGCTCCTGGGAACTTGTTGGGAAAAACGGGTGCCCAGGCCCCACACCAGGACCAGTGAATCGGAGACTCTGGGGGTGGGGCCCCGGCGTGTGCATTTCAGCAAGCCCTCCAGCGGATCCCGGTGCCTGCTCAAGTCTGGGAATGTCCGCCCTGGAAGAAGATGTCCCCAGAAGAAAGAAGAGCCGAGTGTGTCAGGCTTTCCACAGCTGGGGACACGGCTGTGTTCCTCAAATAGCTGACGCATCACCATTCACTCAATCACTCCAACCCCACCCACACTCCGCGGAAGAAAGTCATTCCGGGCCCTGCTCTTACTGGGCTTGGCCACAGGAATGGCTTCGGCTAATGGATTTGCGAGCGGGTGAGACCTAGGATGCCACATCCCGCAGGACCCTCATTATGCCTACGCGGGTTGCCTTAGGCTTTTAAGCCCCTGCCATGCTCCATGACCATACGTCCCAGGCTATGGATGCTTCCTCAGCCCAGGTCCCAGAACAAAAAGACCCATGGAGCAGTCCTAAACCCAACCAAAGCCACAGCAAACCCACAGATCGTGAGCAAGGGGGGAAGAAGTCTGCTGTTCCGAATCACTGCATTCGGAGCTTGTTTCTTAGAAAGCATGACTGCAGCAGAGCTGGCTAATGCGGACCGCCTGGTTTTAGAGCAAGGGAATTCATGGCCCCAGAAGACTGAGGCGTTGTGAACATCCTGCAGCGGGACACGGGCTGGAGGGGAAAAAGAATCAGTGCCAACCCTAGCCCCACCCCTGGCCCCACCCCTGGCCCCACCTGTGGAGATGGGAATCTCAGAACTAACTTCCTCCTCAATATCCTCCGACCTCTTCCAAAATGGACCTTTCTGTCCTCATCAAAATGATGCTCACCAGTAAAAACTGAAGCCTAATAAAGTTGTGCAAAGTACCGTCCAGAACGAGTAAACAGTCTAGAGGCTAAGACCCTCTTTCCTCCATGGCTCAGAAAGGCTAGCGGTGGAGGACCTGGCCAAGGGGGCAGAGGACACACAGCCCCGCCCCTTCCCCGGGTCTCCGTTAACCTACCTGGAGAACTGGGCGCTTGCGCCCTGACTGAGACCGAGCTTCTGCCTCTGAAGTCACACCCACCGCCCCATCACCGTGGGAGCCACGCTCTGGCTGACACGCGTCACACCAACGAGTGCCTGGCCCTGTCACCACTAACGGAAAGGGGGTGGCAATTGCTGGCCATGGATTTCCAAGGCTCTCACATGTAACATAGCAACAATGATACCGGCGGGCAGGGGAGGAAAGAAGAGGCCGCCCTTTAAACACACCCTAAGCCCCAACGGCACCGTGGTTTACACAGCAGCGTCAACCCCCCCGCAGGACACAAGCCGACCTCGTCGTCCCTGATCCCCCACGGCCCCGAGCAGTGGCAGTCGGAGGTTCAAGCTCATTCACTGTACAATAAACCGCAATCGGAGCCTCTGCTTCCAACTTGGAAGATCTTCTCACCACCACCCAAATTAACTCGACCTTCAGTTGGAAAGCACGTTGGGATGAACGTGCACAGTTAAGGTAGTTTCCCATATAAAAAGTGGGCTTCTAGAGAACACTGGGGGCAGGTGGGGACATTCCCAAGATAAACCTCCCCTGATGTTCCCACCTGCCAAGGCTTTCAAAGCCACCAGTTGGGGGCCCAGTGTTAAGCCATCCCGTTAAAAGTCCCAACTCAGGTGACGGCAGCCGCACTGTTTTTAAGCTGATTGTGTTCACGGCCATGGCCGTAGGTCTGCTCATGAGACCTCAGTGTTGCGCACTATCAAAGGCATCATGGCACACTCAACTTGCCCATGAATTGACTTGCCAAACCAGGTAGTCAATGAAAATCAATCCATTTACCGTACATTGCTGAAAAGCTGCGAGATCTGGGACATTACCTTGTCTTAGGGGAGGTGGTTAGCCATTCTTCGTGCTTCTCAAATGTTATTAAATAAGCTGCAATTTCCTGAAACAGAAGAATAAAACAATAATAACAACAATTAGCTCACATCGGCTCCCGAGGGGTAAGAAAGTTCTTATTCCTTCCCAGCTCTCGCCTCCCTGGCAGGGCTGGACCCCCATCTCTGCTGGAAAATGCTTGCCGTGGAGGGTGCTTCTATTCTGAATTTGTTAAGCCCTTTCCGTTCAGCCCGCCATACAATAATAATCAACGCACTGGATTTCAGAAGATGAGTCAGTCGCAAGGACAAAGCTATTTCTCTGTGGGAGGAAAACATCAGACACCATTTCAGATACTAAATGTCATTAATTTGAAGGAGGGACAAACACGTGCCAACAACAGGTCCGCACTCATGCGAGGTCGTCATTGGGATGTTTCGTCTGTCTTCTTCTGAAGCCAGACTCATTTTTCACCACTGTCACGGGAGACGTCATGTTCCCGCCACCTGATTCCCACACCCCTGCACCAAATCACGCAAAGATTAAAAAGGAAAGATAAAGCCATGTTCCAGAGCGAGAGCGAGAGAGAGAGGTTAACCTTTCTCCCACTGATAACTTAATCTATTGAGTTGTGCTTCTGAAAGAAGAACCATGTCAGCAGAGTTTAAGGCAAAGATGGAGAAAATGTGGGCACCTGAAGATAAATTAAATATTTATAAACACAACAACATCGCTGCAGATAGAATTACTGATTTATTAATAATTTCCATAAAAAGCCAGTGGGCGACATCAACATAAGTCATTGCTCCAGCTCTGGGGCATGATATGGCCCATTACTTCCAGCTCCAAACGGATCTGCTAACATGAAATTGGCAGGGATTGGGAGTTAAATTAAGGCCGGACTAGTACACGTTTCCCTTGATCTTGGTGATGATACGACACAGAGCTGCTGTCCCTGACTATCAAAACATGCAGAGAGGGGCCTCCGTCTCAACTTCCTCTGCAGCTGGGGTGCCCAGAGGGCTCGTGGTGATGCAGCAGCCCATCCACCCAGAGGCCCTAAGTCCCCCTCTGCTGTGAGCCTCCTCCAGGCCTGGACATAACGGGACTGTGACCTGTGACCTGTGACCTGTGACCAGAGACGCTCAACCTGCCCTTGAAGCAAAGAGGAGCCTCTCAGTAAAACCAGGTCAGCAGAGGAGGTTAAGGCAGAAAACACCACCCACCCAATGTGGCCTGAAGACCACAGGCTCAGGCAGAGACCAGGGTCTCATATCATCACAGACACCAGCCACTACTCCCAGGTGGCCAGTGAGGTGACCCAGAGTCCATACCGCCTCATTCCAGAAGCCCACATCTTTCACCAAGAACCTGGCAAGTGGAAACCCGGGTCCCAAATGGACAGGTTCTTCTCACTGACGGCCACTAAAGAGATGGATCGACGGGCACCTGCTTTCTCTCAACTCTGGGCCTTTTCTGTTCCATACTCTGTTTCTTCTCCTTAGAAAACGCCTGCCCTGAGGCCTCACCGGAGACAGACAGCTGGCCCTCCTGACTATCCCGGCGGGGTTGGCTGCCCATCCTGCGTGGTCTCTTGGCACCGCACCTTCCAGTCCCTGTGATTTGTCCCTTGGCGTCCTAATTGCTTGCTTCCTTGGATGGCAACCCCCACTGGATCACGAGCTCCTCGAGGGCAAGGAAGATGTCATCAGTGATGTATCCCCAGGACCTAACGGTGTCCCGACAGGTGTTGGTTAGGCAGATGGATGAGTGGGTGGGTGGGTGGGTAGAGGGGCGGGGAGGAGGAAGAGCAGGCGTGAGGGAAACAAATGGGCAGGGAGAAGTGAGCCCGTGTGGCCATGCGCCTGTGTTCTGCGGCTGTCATGTGCTCGTGTAGGTTTGTTTTTGGGTGACGTCACAGCGGCGTCCTAATGCAGCGGCTCCTAAATAATCCCTGACCAGGGCTTCCACGACCTCCCCGCGAGGCAGCAAGGTGACGCAGTGTCACGGTTAAGAGCACAGGCTTCGGAAGCAAACGGACCTGGCCTGGGGCACTGGCTCTGCCACTTGTTAGCGGTCTGGTCTTGAGCCCATTGTTTACCCTGTAGAAACCTCGGTTTTCTATGAAATGGAGACGGGACCACCTCGTGGGGCTCTTACAAGGAGCAACAACTCCTAATACTCTGGCCGGCCCCACCGGCACACAGCAATGCCCCCCACACACACCCCCGCCAACCACAGCTAGTGCAGTGCTCATTATGGGGCCCTCATGGTGTGAGCTGCCGTCTGGAGGCCCCCGATGAGGGAGCAGGTACCAAAGGGGTGCGGCCCTGAAGCTGCCAGCCCTGCCAGGCTGACCTCCACCCATCCTCACCTTCCATCCCTCCCCATCCCTGCACCCCATGCCCGCAGGGAACAGTGACATCACAGTGACCACTGAGAGCTAGCTAGAGTTGATCTTTCCCTGGATCTATTGATGCCCATTTCACTTCACAAAGCACGGACAGCCGGCAGTGGCTGGAGTCAGGGGGTGGGTAAATTGAGCCACTTATGTGTATCAGTCCATCTTCCTGATTTTCAGAAAACCTGGCATCCAGAAAAATAGTCTGTGCCAACCTGAACCCCTCAGATCCACGTCCTTACCCGGGATTATGCCGAGAGCTAAGTGACCCTTACTGGCCCAGAAAGATGGGGGCAGAGCACATCCCAGCCACCTCCAGACTTATCACCATGTTCTGAAGACCCGGACACCCAGAGAAGACCTTCATGAACACCCCTCGGCCAGCATTCACCCCCAACCCAGCAGGACCCCCCCCGCTACTGTCCTTCAAAGAAACAAAAGCCCTGGACCTTATTGCCTTCAATATTTACTCTACAAATCCTTGTTGAGCTCATTGTATGCTAGTCAGTGAACAAGACCAGTTTGACCCCTGCTCTTAAAGAACCCATGGTCAAGCAGGTGATAGAGACAGCATGGTAGAGCAGCGTAAGCCCCATTCCAGGATTATTTGCCCAGTCGAGTCCGTAGACACACCCAACGGGACATGATGGGCCTCCTGAGCTGTTGTACAAGCAAGCAAAGCCACAGGAGGTCACACTGATTTATGAACTAACCTTTGAGCACTGGCCACTGCTTCTCTACCCCAAGGTAACAATACCTCCACACAATGCCCATTGATGGGGCACTCATCCCCTCTTAAGAGCAGCATTTCTGAGCAAAGGAAACTTACTGCCCAGACCTAGGCACTTGCCTCTGTGGTGTTCTAATTGGTTGCCTGGCTTCCAGCTGGACTGCGCATGTCTGAGTCACCTGTCCACTCCCAGGCCCATGCTACCCAGTCCGCACAGCCTATTTCCCTGATGCAGGTCTTGGTCCACCTCATCATCGGCTGGGCAGACCATGGGCCAGACGCCCCCTTCCCAAAGCTAAGGAACATGTTGGGAAAATGGATATATGCACGTGCCAAAGAACCACATAGAATAATAGATGCTAAACAGTGTAGAGCAAAGTGAGGGTCACCAAAATCCAGAAGAAGGAGAGCCAGCCTGGCCAGGGAAGGGGACGGCTTTGGGGGGAACAGAGACCTCATCATCTGCGTCATCATTACCATCATCACAATGGCTAACGTTAGTAGAATGACGTCTGAGCCCAGGTACCGATCTAGGACTTTAGGAGGGATCATCTCCCTTAATCCTCATAGCGAACTTTGAAGCAGGAGCCATGCCTGTTTCACGGGAGGGAAAATTAAGACACAGAGCAGTTAGGTGGCTTGCCCAATGTCACATGGCTAATCTCTGTGGAACCAGAAGCCAAACCAACGTGGAATGGTTCCAGAGCCTACACTCTCCACTATAGTACAGAATTTATGATGTGCTTAGAAGGAGAAAAGGAAACCAGCATGTGGAGAGTCATGCTTTCTCCAACACAGTTTAACAGCCTCCTGCTTCCCCACTGACCCAAAGGCACTTCACTGTCCCACCACCTTTCGGGGGACCAAGGGAAGCCAGGCTGAGCACCTGTCAGTGGGATTCCCTCTTTCCAGCAGGATCAAGTTCATTTTCACCCAGAAGCCCTTGTATGATTCATGGGACCATCTACACGTCAGGAACGGGGAAAATCCCTGATTTTCAGAAACCATTTACTTAAAATATCTTACAATGCAGAGAATAACAAGAGGCAACAAGAGAGACAGTTAAGCTGAAGAAGGAAAGAGGTTTAAGAAAAGAAAAGGAAGAAAAAGCTTTGAAGCCCGACGGTCTGGCCTTTCCCTCTTTCCCTCTTTCCCCAAAGCTTCACCGACCTGGGCTCCGAGGAAGGCAAATGGAGAGAGATCTGGTCTACCTCATTTTTACGGAGCAGGAAACTAAGGCACAGAGAAGGGAAGGGACTTACCCAAGGTCAGTATTCGTGGGCTGACCTGAGCTGGAAACCAGGGCTCCTGACTCAGTGCATGAATGATCTTATTGACTTTCAAACTCAAGTCTGGCCCAGGAAATGTATGGAACGCTCAAACAAGAAGAGAGCTTGCCCCCAAAGAAGTGAAAACAGGAACTCAAACAAAATCATGTACGTGAACGTTCACAGAAGCATTATTCAAAACTGCCAAAAGGTAGAAGCATTCCAGTGACCATGACAATGACCACGACAACATAGACGGGTACACGAGACGTGCCACAGCCCACACAGCAGAAGGCTGTTCAGCCACAAAAAGGAATGCAGTTCTGATACATGGATGAGCCTTGAAAACTTGCTGAGGGAAAGAAGCCAGAAAACAAGGCCACATGTTATAGGGTTCCATGGGTACGAAATGTCCAGAACAGGCAAATTCATAGAGAAGGAAGGTAGACTGGTGGTTCTCCAGGGGCTGAGGGGAGGGGACAATGGGACTGCCGATGGGTATGTGGTTGCCTTTTCAGGGGAGAAAATTGTCTGGAACTAAATCGTGGTGGAAGTTACCCCAAATTGCGAATGTACTAAGCGCCACTAGTAATAAAAAAGAACAAGAAGAGAGGGTAGACATCCAGCTAGGTGTGGCACTAGGGTGCAGAAAATGCCAGCCCCCCTGC